ACTACTTTTGAATGATGCGTTTTTAGATTTTGTCTTCATTTATATCTCAGCAAAGTAATGGTTATTTTTGGCAGAAACGGCTATCGTCAACGGCCTTCAGAACAGTACCAATAATAGTACAGCTATTTATTTAGTTATTGAGTTGTCAAACATATTTTATTTTCATAATTTCATTATAAGAAAAATTAATTTATACTATTTACTTGGAAAATGGGTTATCATCGATAACGGTCAATTACGGTACATAAATTTAGTATCTAAATATTATAATGTTTTTGTGTCAGTTATTTAATTTACTGTATGTGTAAATGGTCCAGGGGACAAAGTCCCTAGTGGCCCCAGAGTAACTATAAAATGTATCTGCTATAAAACGGTGTTTTCTGAATTAAAATCAACGTCCTTTCTCGATTTTTGTTCTGATTCGAGCAATGGAGTCCACAGTGTACCCACCTATATCGGCTATATCTAATGCGCATAAAATGTTATTATATGGCTATACTCTACGTCTTTATTCGGTGATAAATATGATTTGTATAATTAAATTTCATTATGACAAATAAATAAGTTTACCATTGCAAAGATTTAAGTAGAATATAAGCTCGTGTGAATTAAATGTACTTAACCTTTTACTTTTGGTCTACTTTGTTTGCACATTGTACGTACCACAAAATTATCAAAAAAAAAAAATTCGATTTCGTGCATTTAAAGATAATTTTAATTTCGTTTATTTGTAATGAGTTTTTAATTAAAGTCATTTGCACACAGTCTTGAATCGAGATTCTTGTAAATAGAAATTTCAACATTTTTTTTAAACGAATGTCTCCTGCATTTTATAATGAACTCTGTTTGAATATTGATATTTGTGAGAGAAAAAAGTTAATTGAAAAAATTGTCCAAGCTTTTAATATTTACTTTTAGTATTATAATTAAATTATTCCAGTAAGCACTAAGCTACGAGGAACTGACAATTTTCCAATAAATTTACAACGAACACTGTGTTGATTTTCTTATACATACAATGATAATATGAAAAAAAGATAAATAATATTTCGATATTCCTGTGCACGGTGTACTTACAATATATATATACAATATACAATATATATATATACAATATACAATATATATATATATATCATATGTTTGTGTTTATTTAAGATAAACAACTATTGATTTCAGTGAAGCGCTTAAGTTGAACAACAATACGACAGCGAATAATAGGAACAAAATAAAAACTTTACCCTGATAATACTTATATCACTATATTACCTACGTACCTATTCAATATAGTATGTAATGTGTTTTTACTTTTTATTATAAATCAACAATTAAACTTTAATCATCTGATTAAAATTTAAATTCAAGTTTTCTTCTATTTAAATCGAAATGTTTGTATTAAAATAAAAGACAAAAAATCTGTCTGTGGAGTATTAAAAGAAACAACAAAGAAAAAAAGAAAATAATATTCTTCGAGGAATTTAAAAAAAACAAACCCTATACTCGTTGTTTAGCAATAACATTCAGTGACTGTATACATTCAGTAAGAATAAACCCATTTTTCATTTATCATTAACTCTACTACTGGCGCAGTGGTAGCCGGTAGGTACCTAAACTCAGACGATAGAATGTATTTTAAAACATGTAAAACAAAAATATGATATAAAGACATTTATTGTATGTTACTATAAAGTATTTAAAAGTGTGAAGGTTTATAATATGGAGGTGAATAAATTCAAATGAAAATTTGTTGATGTGTTTTTATTAGCTACATTAAATTACTTTTCAGTTTTGACTGTTAATTTAATTAAATAAACAAAAATACAATATGGTTTTAATCAAATGCCGGTTATTTTTAATATTTAATTTATTGATAATATTATAGATTAACTTATACTTGTAGATAATTTTTTAGTTAATTATAGAGAATGACATATTGGATGAATTCATTAAGTGCATTCACTTTCAGTAGTATGCAATACCATTTTTTACTCTCTGCACTTTTGAAGCAAATAGTAAAATAGAAAAAAAAAAATTTTCAATAATTAATGTACGATAAAAACTCCATGGGTTACACCGAGACCGAGATGCAAAAAATAATAATTTTTTTTAAGGACCTAGTCTTGTCGATTTGTTTATGAACGAGACTAAGAAAATAAACGGTAATTATGATACCTATTATATTTTGTACTTTAAATAAACTAACGTAATAACAAATTGAAATTTATTTTTAGTGAAATTAGACAAAAAATACTGATGAATTCGTAATTAACTCTGCCATCAATGATTTCGATTGTCTATAAATTATGATTAATGATTACTTGGGAAAACGTATTTTGTGCCAATTGCAGTACTTGTAATTTGCAGCACCGAGAGACAACTACATTTCGATTCATAAGTTATCTGGGCCAAAATTTAAAAAAAAAATCAAAGTGAAATTTGTGCCAATTGTTGAAATAATTTACCTAAAAAATTTACTCTGAGCTCATAACAGTTCTAAGCGTTATACTGCACATAAAACATGAATAAATAACATGAACAATATCGGACAATGAAATTCCTGATTTTATTATTAACTGAGATATTACTCATTTATACACAATGATTAGTACCTATATTGCATACAAATACATTTTTTTATTTTACTTTATATACGTTTTAATAAATTCTCAAAATGTATCTATTAACTAGTTTGATGAATAAAATACATATTGATAAGTTTAAATGATTATTCACTATTTTAAAGTGGCGCAAAGTACAATTTTTATAAGGTGAAATGTTGCAAATTAAAATTTTGAGGATACGAGATTTCGCAGACTACAAGATCCCTTTTTTCTACTTTTATGTGGCGCAAATTAAATACCCTCGATTACTTTCTTTAGAATCTTTTAACATGCCCTTTATTGCCCACTTTAACCTACCCTGGCGTATCAAATATTGTAGTACAAGTTGATTCACCAAGCATACTCATCGCAATTATAATGATAATTGAACGTTGTATAATACCTATAATATTTTATTATGATTTAAAAATTATAACCTATTTTTGTTCTGTTCCTGAGCAATTGTAGTATAATATATGGTACTATAACTGTATTAACAACTTTTATTATAAATATATTTCAATATTTCAGGTACCTGTGTAATATGTATAAAATAGTATTAATATTTTGAAAAAAAAACTATTGCACGATCTTACCTTTTTTTTTTTCTTCTTTTTTTTGTTCCTAGATTACATTGGCTGCAGAGGCTATTCGTTACAGGTATTTTGTAAACAATTTTTACAATTACAATCTTATTTATTTTAATGAATATTTCAATTTATACAAAAAACATTTAAGAGGATGTCAGCGGAGCTATTTTTCTTCTTAGTAACATGCTTTCGAAAAATAGGTTTTATTCCAAAATGATTAGACTTAGCGTTACACAACCTATTATAAAAATTAAAGGTAACAACATTATCTAGGGAATGACATATCCATTTACCTTTTTATTAGTTTTTAACGGAAATACGATAATTTTAAGTTATCGAAAATTGCAACTTTTTAATCATAAATAACTACCGTTTAAGCTGTTTAATCAAAAAATGGATATGTCATGCCCTAGATAATATTGTAATCTTTATTTTTGAAAATTTGGTGTTTTTCTCTAAAATCACTCTAGACCTATGCTTTGGCCATTTTTCATAAACATGTTTTTTGTTATCGAATTTAATTTTTCATTCGTAAAGTGCTGCTGCCAACGAACGGCGGCGACGTCGACGAGTATTTCTCCCACTATGGCCACAATCAGCGGATTCGGTCGCGTCGCATGCACGCACGATATATTTTTAACTAATCGGCGAGACGGCGATTAACTATTTCGAAGAATAAATCAAAATTACAAGATAAGATACTATTGCAATTAATGCAATGCATACGAAATAATATTTATTATAATAATATTGTTTCTATTGTTATTATATTGATGTTCGAAATAAATAAGAATATCATCGAAGACTATAATATACGGTATAATGCCATGCATGCCTTATCCCTCTATAATCTATACGAATACGATAGTGAGTATACTACGTAACATGACAGTTTAGGACATCTAGGATCTAGGTTATTACTTATTGACTGTTGTTATATTTCATTTATCGTGTTTACTTGTTCAACGTGAAAGTTTGAAGCACGAAACTAAACGTAATACGTTTATTATGGCGAATAAAAAACTTACTGCAAAGCGTACTATTAGAAAAATAACTACAAGGACTCTAGTTCAAAATCGGTGGTCCAATCGTATTTTAAGGTAGGCCATTGATTTATTAATTATAATATTTTTTTAATTGTACCTAATTGTACGCAATAGCTTACATTATTATATGTCCAGTATTATAATATTATCATAATTAATAAATATACTATTATAATAATTATATTATATTATATAACTATTAATTTGCATAGACCTACTGTTCCTATATATATATTCTTTAGGGAAGCAGCTAGTACGTCAACAGACGATGTTGAAAGCGTACAAAGCGTAAACGCTGCAGACTTTGTTATACCAACTCTGTAAGTAAAACTACTAAAAACATATAAGTATAACCTAAAAAACCCGTAAAAATTACCGCGTATTAGTAAAAGAAACTTATAATTACATAGTTAATTTGTTAATTGGCAACTTATTGTTCCTATATATAATATATTCTTTAGAGAAGCAGCTAGTACGTCAATTATTAATGATGTAGAAAGTGTAAACGCTGACTTTGTCTCACCAATCGTGTAAGTAAAACTATTGAAATTGATTTGTTTATAAACAATACAAATAGATTATTTTAATTATTATATTTTTATCCTATTAGTATAATATACCTATATATTATACCTATGCTGTTATTATTTTACAGTTTTACTATGTTGAAAATTTTTTTTAAAAACCTAATTAATTATATTGTTTATTTATATTAATTATAATTTTCTTACTATAAAATGTGTATTCATAAATGATAGCTTTACGTCTTCTCCGATATGTACTGAACAGTTTGAAATAGAGAATTATAATTTAATTGAAGAGACACCTTGTGACGAAGATATGTAAGTATCTATAGTCTATCAAAGTAGTAATAGGGGCACTTGAGCACACTTTTTAAAAAGCAAATAAAAATCTGTAAAACATTACAAAAAATTTAAATTTATATTTCACCTATTAAACAATATAAAACTAGTAGATTTTTTAAACAGTCAAAAAATGGCTTAAAATTAGCATATTTTTACATTTTTATATCCAAATGTCATAACTTTTTTAGATTCTGAGTGGAACGATGAATGTATTGATTTTACAATGATGTGTGTTTTTTTTTTTATTTTTATTTTTTTATTTTTTTTTTGTGTCTGTCATCACCTTTTAGGACAGTAAAACTGCTTCGATTTTCTTCAACAGTAAAGCTGGTTTCACACGGAGCGATTTAATCGCGCGCGGTTGCGGTTAAAAATCGCGGCGATTTAAAATCGCTCCCGTGTATGCCATTCACACTAGGCGATCGCGTGCGATTAAAACGCCTTCGAATACCCGCCAAACTCGAAATATGTTATTGTCGTTTGAACTTATAACATTAGTCGGTATTCGTTTAGTATGTGACCTACCTGTTGAAAATCGAATTTAGTATGTGACCTACCTGTATTACTGGGTTTAGTGTGTGACTGGGGAGTATTAAAAACTAAGATCCTACGAAAAATGCATGGAACATCAGCTAAAATGTTGCCACGTCATTTAATTGTGGCATGGTATCGATCTATCAACAGGCAAGATACAATTTTTTTTAAATTTTTAAGTGATGTACAAAAAGTGTATTGCCAAACATAATTAAATTTTATGCATTTTTTAAAATTAATTTTGACTGATATTGAATATAATTTGTAATCTGTAATAATAAAATATCGCCTAATTATATAATTTTTAATTTGAATGTTTTAAAATTAATTATCGGACCGGTAGGTCACGCGTACAAAACGATCACCCTAATGGTAGGTCACGCGACTGGTAGGTCACATACTAAACGAATACCCATTAGTCGTATGGAAAACGTGGTTTGGATAAATTGTAATTGTGTGTCTGTCGTATAACTTAAATAGGTAAGTTATTTCCCATCGTTTTATTAAATGGAGACCTTAGATGATGTTGAAGCGATTTGTGTAGTGTATAGTTTATATAAAAGACAACAATTAAAACAAAAAATAACCAGCAATAGAAAATATTGGGTGCATCCACTAAATATGAAAAGGATCAACGAAGGTCAGTTTCAAGTTAATTTTTTAACTCTGCGATCACACATTGTGGATCAACGAACACATTGTGGTTATCGCCTACGACAAAAATATGGTCTATGATAGTATCACGGTTCGTTGTTGATGTATAACGCGTTATAACTTATAAGTACCTAATGGATATTGTGAAATGATTAATTTGGATGTCAGGGTCATTTCTTTTTGTTACAAATTATTATTGGCTTTTTAAAAAGTGTGCTCAAGTGCCCCTATTACTACTTATAAAAAATTACCTAATATGGAGTATCAAAAATGTATTTTTTTCAGTGAGAGCAAAGCTCCATTGGCCGGTAGAAGAATAGTTGACATTAATTATTTTTTCAAACAAATCCAAGAAAGTCTGCATAATGGTGGTTTTGGATGTAGTTTTTTAGATATGGACTTTGTTAGTGAAATACACGTTGGTTTTTTGTCAAAATTTAAATTTAAATGCAGAATGTGTGGCATAAAAACGCTTATTTTATCTGAAAAAACTGGAGAACCTACTGAACATTTGCCAATCAATGAAGCAGCTGTAAATGGTACATTATCAATAGGTATGATTTTTAATTATTTAATATAAGTACAAAAGAGTTTAGTGAATCAAAATTATGAATTAACATGATTAAATTTTTCCATATTATATATTATATTAGGAATAGGACATAGTCAGTTATCCGAGTTTACTGCTGCAATGGAAATACCGTGTATGTCGAACACAACATACTCCAGGGTACACGAGACAATCAGTTTTTCAGTTCATAACACAGCTTGGGATGAGATGAAAAAGGCAGGCGTAGAGGAACGGGAATTGGCATTAGAAGCTGGAGAGGTCGATGAAAATGGAATACCAATGTGTACAGTAGTAGCAGACGGACAATGGTGTAAAAGAAGTTACAAAACAAAGTATGATGCACTATCTGGAGTGGTACGTATACATTTTGTCATATGTTTCGTTTTAAATATTAGAACTAATATATAGGTATTAAATTTTTATATTTTTATTAAGGCTTCCATCATTGGATATAGAACCAAAAAAGTATTGTTCGTAGGTATAAGAAATAGGTATTGCGTAATTTGTCACCGTGCCGCCTCTAAAAACGAAAAACCTTCTGAACACCGCTGTTTTATGAATTGGAATAAATCTGCAACAGGTATGGAAGCAGATGGTGTTGTTGAAGGGTTTATGAAAAGCGTCGAAATGCATAATTTGAAATTTAATAAACTGATTGGTACGTATTGCGCTTTCTTTATAGTTTATAGTTTATAGAGTGCAAAATGTAGTCTTAAAAATGTTTGTTGGTTTTACATTTTAAACTATCAAATACAGTAAAACTTCCATTATTTACTGATATACCTATGTATATGTACAATTTAAAAGTTGTGTATATATTAGGTATAAAGTCTAGAGAGTATATAGTATAGAGATATTAATGTATTTTTCCTATAACACACAATTTTTTATTAATATTTTAAATTCAAGTCCCCAGTTTTTAGTTTAAAATTGCATATATATTCCAGGTGACGGGGATAGTAGTGTTACTAAAAAATTGTTAGAAGTACTACCTTATGGCCCTAATGTTTTAATTGAAAAAATAGAGTGTCGCAACCATCTACTGCGTAACTACTGTCAAAAAATAGCAGCTATTGCAAAAAAAACTTGCTATCCTATACATTTACGCAAATTTATAATTCAAAATGCAATGCGGTTTCGAACTGGAGTAGTAAAAGCTATTCGTTACCAAAAAAATGAAAATAAACCTTTATGTCAACAAATATCAGGTAGGTAGCTACTAATATGACTTATTAGTTATTTCTACTTATAGTACTTAATAGTTAATACTTATATACTATTATCTATAGAATATATTATAATTTATAATATATTATTTTATTTTCCAGACTTAGGCAAAGATATTTATAATAGTCCATACCATGTACTAGGACAACATACAAAGTGCGCTTCGTATTTTTGTCAAGGAAATACAGTTTTGGAACAAAATTTAGTTGTACAAGCTGAAAACAGTGGCATGATGTTAGAAATAATGAATGCAATAAATCGTTTAGTCGCTAATTCTAGTAGCTTAATAACTGATGTAGACAATAATGTATGCGAACAGTTCAACAGCGTGATAAATAAATACATTGGAGGAAAACGAATCAATATGTCACAAAGAAACACGTAAAATGCTAGGGTTGAAGCTGCAGTTGTAGCATTTAATTCAAAAGAATACTTACGGACCATACATAAGAATATTATGAAAAAAAGTCCAGGTAATACAGTTATTATTTAATAAATACATACCTGATATTATATAATGTATTATATATAATTTACTAGATAATTTTTAAAATAAATAAAGTAAATATTATAAGACAATAGATTTATTTCGTATTATTAATTTGTAACAGGTATGTTTGGTAAGATTTTTTTAAAAAATGCCAAAAGACAAAAATTAAATAATCAAAGACGACGAGCATTATTCATCAGAAAAAAATACAGTAACAAGCAGCTTAAAACATCGGGTCCTGATGAAAATTATGGTCTAGCAGAAGAATTACCCCCTGAAAGTTCTTATGAGGATTTGACAAACATGAAACTGAATTTTATTAATGAAATTAAAAACATGGATAGAGGTAGTACCTATAACTAGTATAAATTTCAGTATTTTACGATGTTAAGATTTTAATTTAGATGTGTATATGTTTAAAATAATGTGCAATAATAGAACAATTGGAGAAAAACACGAGAGACCAAGCTAAATCGCAACTTTGGTACACAGAAAGGAGAAAACGATTGACTGCTTCCAAGTTCGGAAAAATATGTAAAATGCGTCAAAATACCTCATGTAAAAATACGGTGCATGAATTATTATATGGACAGACTAACCATAAAATTAAAGCCATAGAATATGGTAGAGTCATGGAGTCTGTAGCAAAAGTTAAATTCGAAGAGCTGTTTAATTTAAAAATAAAATCTGTAGGACTTTGCATAGATGTTGAAGTTCCTTACTTGGCTGCTAGTCCAGGTAAAATAAATATTACTATTTCAAGTTGAAAAATATACTTGCTGTAGTTGAAATTTTCAACTAAAGCAAGTATATACCTTTAGGCTTTTTGTAAATTTAATATGTTTAATGTTTATGTTTTTATTGTAGGTAATAATATCAATTATTATATTGTTAAATAATTTTCAGATGGTTTTATCGAAAATAATTTTATTATCGAGATAAAATGTCCTTTTTCGGCTAAGGATAATACAAGTTTAGAAGATGCAATGAATAATGGAAAAGTAGGATATATTTTTATTAATAACAACTATTTATTATTGTATCTACAATAACTGTATATTGTGCAATTATAAAAAATACCAAAACATTTTTGTATATTTATGTTAAAAAATGTTGTTTTAGATCAAATATTGTATTATTGACAAAAATACAAAAACAATTGAATTAAAAAAAAACTGTGACTACTATTACCAAGTGCAAGGTCAACTGCATATAACAGGGAGAACAAACTGTTATTTTTTTATATTCACAGAAAACTGGAATCATACAATACATATTAAGTATGATAGTGAATTTTGGTCGACTAAAATGGTGAAACAGTTAAGTCTGTAAGTATAAATAACTAATTCTAATAAGACGGAACTTAATAATTAATGACGATTGATTTTTTTTTAGATTTTACACCGAATGTTTACTCCCAGAATTGGTAATGCCTCAATATGGTAAACGGTTATTAATCAGCGATATTCGTGAACCAGATCACATTAAAAATAAAATAATTAAAGCCTAATAAACTTGATAAATACCTACAGTGTTTTTTTTTTTGTTAAATTCATCAATACTTTTTCTATTAGTTTTTTGTTATGATTACTATATATGTAGAGGGAAATGTGAGATTAAATTGAAATGATGGAATGGTATTTTTAATTTTTATATTAATTAAGAAGATCTACTCAAGCTACAAATATTACACAATTGTTTATTGTGTTCTTTGTGTTTAATGTATCAATATTGATAATGTAACTAAGTTATTAAAATAATGATGTACATAAATAGTTAATTGAATTTTAAACATTTTTTTTTACTATCTATGCACTTAGCTACACCTGACTAATAAGGTAGAAAATAAATTCTCTATATACAGAAATCTATCTATCTATTATGCATTTATGCGAGTTGTGAGAGCACCCTGGTAATATTGTGTAGAAACGAAACGCGAGATCCTAACGTTACGATCGCCAATACAATATTACATATCGCCATTACAGATTTTATTACGAGTGTTTATTACCAGAGTTGAGAAATCCACAATTTGGAAAAAGATTATTAATAAGCGACATAAAAGAGTCTGACCGAATTATAAAAGAACAAGAAAACAAACAACGCACTGTAAAAAATAAAAAATAAAATAAAATTAATTATGGCCAATATTTAAATTTAACTAAACGTTTAAAATTGGCTTACCGATTTAGTTGTTATTTGTACCTATAATTCTATTCTTTAAAATAATAACATTTGAACAGTTAATATTCATAAATTATATACATTAATTAAATTTTTTTGTAGCTTATGAAAACCCTTGTGGCCTTGTCCTGAATTTTATAACCTTAGGTACCTAGTTAAAAATGTATAAAATTTTAATAATATGTGCAACAATTATCAATATTAACTACGTTGTATAAAATGTGTTATACATTATATATTTCCGTATTGGTTAACATTATACATATTAAATTATATAGGAGTTAAAGTCAACTTGTAAGTCGTGAGCGCAAAGTAAGTAGCAAGCACGCCGCGCGCTTAGAAATAAATAGGCGACATATTATCTACGTAATGGTCAATTGCATTGGCGCGAAACGCTTTTAGTAAGCGATATAAGAGAACCAGTTAGAATTTTGAGAGAACAGGAAACAAAAAAAAAAAAAAGGTAGGTATATAATATGTAGGTACAGCATGATGCAAGTACCTATTTATAATAATTCAGCTTATTGCAACAAATAAGAAATACAATATAATGAAACATATGTCATTACTTAGCATAATGCGTATTATCAATCAAAATAATAATTCAAATTTTTTTTATAATTTTTAAGGTAAATCTACCTCTAATATTACAGAAAATAGCTGAATTAGATTCCTGCAGTGTGGTGTTGAAAAAGTATATCAAATACCATTTTATGTTTTTATTAATTGTTTTTAAGTTGTTGAAATCCGATGTAATATTGTAATGTACCTTATACCTATATATTAATAATGTATATATTATTAATGTATACCTACTAAAAAATAAGTTATTTTTGTATTGGTTGTTTTATTATATTAGCAGTATAACTCATGACCTCATTTATTATTACCTCAAAATAACGCGCGTATTATACTATCAATGTGATCTAAATAATATTTCATTATTTGGGGAATAGGAGGGTCAAAAAACTTTAAATTTTAATAAAGATTACTAATTAATTGAACTTACAGAATTACAAAAATAAAAAAATTATATAGGCACAATTTTTTTATTGGTCTATACGTAAAAACAAAATAGCTACGGCATACGTTGTATGCTGTCTCCGTCTTACATACGTATGCCATGGTAAATTTTCGTTCACCAGTTTCAGTACTGTGCTAACAGTTTTGATATTAGAGTGAATTGACTTATTATCAAACTTTTAGGTAAGAACATTATCTGTGTTCTCTCGTTAGTTTATTAGGATGTTTTAATTTTTAAGTGAATTAGGAGCATTTTAAAATACTTAATATTTCACTTAAAAATTAAAATATCGTAAAAAAAACCAACGATAGAACACAGATAATGTTCTTACCTAAAAGTTTGATAATAGGTCAATTCACTCTAATATCAAAATTAACTAATTCACAGCACTGGTGAACGAAAAATTTGCCATGTTGTACGTGAGTAAGACGGAGATAACACATGCGGGTATGACGTCCTATACTCGCCTTACGGAAGCACACATCACGACAGTCAATACAATAATAATGTGTCTCTCCCGTAATTATGACTCGCGAACCCCGTCGCGTTGCCAATGGGCGTGGTCACAGTCTGCTGCGGCGGCGGCGATATGGAATTCAACGCCATCTCTTGAGCGTTGCATACGTTTTATTTTACGCTGACATCCTCAATGATAATACAATATTTGCAGTTCTACAGTAGGCAGTTGTGTTGCGATACTTATCATCTGAATTTGGTTGAACAGGCCGATTTTTCTTAAGAAGTTGATCATGTTGTTGGAGTCTTCTGTGTGGGGATTAAAAGCAGCGTATAAGTTGGTTAGGATGTTGAGTTTTTTTCATCTTCTTCTTATTTATGGCATTCAGTTATTAAGTCCTTAACTGTTAAGTAGACGCCGCAGGTTAAGCTGCTCTGAGGTTGTTCCTCTTTAGGCATTAAGAACTTATAGGTTATCTTTGTGTGACCTATCTGGAGACGATTGATTACTATTTGATACTCTTCTATTAAGATTAGAGTTTGGCCGTTAGTATATTGTATTTTTGATTTCGTGGAGTTTGGTAACCCTATCTCCTAAATCTCCTTCAATAGTTGTCTTAAGCAGGCTAAATGACATATGTCCTATCATATTATACATTCCACAGGCTTAATTATTTGCAATATCTGACTTTTTTTGGCAAATTAATTTTTCTATTTACTACCTAGGACGACATAGCCCTTGTAAAATGTAAAATGTATTTATTTTTATGAAACTTGTATTTTGTAGTAGTAATATATTATAATTGTTTTGATTGTACCTAATAATAATCTCCAACCGATAAATATATTTTATCAATTTCAAATAAGTATGCTCGATCACAAAATATATATTTTTAACATTTTAAACAAATTTAACTTATTAAGCTTACATTTGTATGATGAGAGTTGCTTTAACAAATAGCCATAGCGACGACTCGAGCTTTCGGAATCGTTTTTCTAATACATTGATTTATCATTGGCCATTGCAATACAATTTGAAATAGCGTACAGCACTGACCTGCACCTAACTAACGAGTAAATCAATCTTGTCCACCGTTATATTAATCGACTGTGTATTGTATCACTTTACATTTATAAATATACATGATAATACATTATACCTTGGCTCGTTAATGTCCATGCTATGTTTACCATAAATTGGACAGTATTGTGCGTTTGTCCAGTATATAATAATCAAAGGTAACTATAGCATAAGTATTAATAGGGGATTTAAAACTGTCAATATTCCGTACCAAAACACACAGATATTTATAAAAGCTAAATAAAAACAATAACATTTTTGAATTTTCAGAATTAATTAGGTATCTGATAATAAACAGCCATCAATCGGCATGATGGACCAATAGTTATAACTTTATAAGATTTTAGCGGGCAAAAGACAAAAAATGGCGACGCGACACACTGTGCACGTGCTTGCGGAAGTTTAATATCTATGCACCCGATCGTAAAGCTCGATCGTATCACTTACAAATCTATCCATAATATTATATTGGCGAAATTCTCCGTTAGCAAAATGAACCGTTAGCAACCTCTTAACATACATTATGCACAAGTAGAATCCACTATAAATACAGTTGCGGGAAACAGGTCGAATTTATTTAGGCATACTTAAGTGTGTTGACTTTTTTCGAGAAAAAAAAACCAAATCTCATTCGATTGATTGCGATATCTCCAAACGTCGCATGTCTCGCACGACAAAATTGTGTTTTGTTCAACATATATTTATATTATATACACAACTATTTATGGCAACGATTTGTACGAGTATATTACCACGGCGAGTTTCAATCAAAATGTATATCGTTTAACCGAGTTAACTGCCAGTATGTTGCATGTTTACACGAAGATGAATATTGTAGTTGGAATAGTACCTATGTATACGAATATGAACGATACAGAGAAAAAAGAGAAAGAGAGACATATAGACGTACGAAATGCAGTGTAAATAGAACTTATTTGCAGTTTGTTCGGTGTATATATTGCTAACCGGATCTATAGGACGACAGTCGGTCAAAAACGTTATATGAAACAAACATCACACGACTGATTGCAATTTTGTCAAACTCGCCTATACGTATACTTTAAAAAGGACGCTTCCCGTGCGTTTGTTGTCTCCGTTTTACAAAAGTGAGACGTGGAAAAATGTTTGTTCCCTAGTTTCGATTGTGTGCAGTTAGTTTTTATAGCGTGTTTTCGACCTTTTAGATCGTCACCTAACTCTTGGATAAGAACATTATCCGTGTGCTTAGACGTCTGTTTTTATTAGATATTTTAATTTCCGGAGGGGAGCAACTTTTAATTTGTGATATCTCACATGCCCGCACATAC